TTATACTTAAAACTGATAATGCCCCTGCCTACGTCTCTCATAAATTACAAGTTTTCTTACAGCAATACAATATTCAGCATATCACCGGAATCCCGGGCAACAGTCAAGGTCAAGCCATCATTGAACGCGCAAATTTAACCTTAAAAACTCAACTGCAAAGACAAAAAGGGGGAAATGAGTCCCCCAGAAACCAGATTCTGAAGGTTCTTTCAATGGAGACAATTGCAAGACTCTGCTGCCATAACCCATCTTTCCTCACCTCCCTCGGTGATAGTCCCCGCTGACAATTTAAGGGTTTGGTATCCTAATGAAGAAGGTAAGTATGTTCAAGGGCAAGTTCTAAAACAGGGACGGGGCTATGCTCTTGTCCTTACAGGGAGCTGACCTGAGTGGTTTCCTACAAGATGATTGAAATCCTGTTGAAAAGAAAACTGGATTCAGCATGCATTTCTTCCTTTGTTGGATGTGCCTTGGTGGGGGACTTATTTCCCTTAGTGAGGCTTTGTATGAATATTGGACTTATATTCCCTTTCCACCCTTGTATCAGGGAGTCGCCTGGGGGGAGGCGGAAATTAAGGTTTTCACCAATGACACTACTTGGATGCCGTCCCCCTATATGGACAAGGACAATATAGAACGGGAAACGGGAATCATAAACAGCACATACCAATTTGGAGTGGAAGGACTTCCAATATGCATGGGAAATAGTACTCATTGTCTCCGAAAATCGCATGAAGCCTGGGCTGTTCGCTATAATCATAGTCATGTGGCTGCTAATACTGTTATTATTGTAACTAGAAGCTTTCAGTATAATCATACTGTATATAGTAATGAGACTATTCCTAGTTCTTTACCTTTTTGTCCTATCCCAGAGGTTTCCCCTAATATTGAGGTGCTGGAGTGGCAACACTGTCGGGGAACTAAACCCCGGATTTTATTAGAATACAGTGGGATGCAAGTAACTGATTGGAGTGTGCACGGTGATTTTCAAACAAAATTTAGTCACATACCTTTGAAATGGCACCGGGTAAATAAAAGTATTGCCGCTAACGGTAATGAAACCTTGGTATGACGTGAAGGAAGCCTGTCGCCACCTATGCCTCATCTTAGACACACTTTACAAGTACAGAGTCATCTTTGGAAGTTGTTAGCTGCAGGCGATGCCATTAGCACTTTTGTGGGGAATATGTCCCTTAATCTTTCTAACCCAAATAACTCCTTTCATATTCAGTTATATCGGAATACCTCCTGATATATCATTGCTTGTGTCCGTAAGCCCTACCTATTATTAGCGGGGAATTTGACACGGGATAAAGATACGGGGATTGTTAATTGTACAGATACGTGTACATTTTTGTCTTGCCTCAATCATTCGTGGTGGCACAACTTTACTAGGGATATTTATATCCTCAGGGCTCGTAAGGAAATTTGGCTACCTGTTAACCTTACACGACCGTGGGGGGCATCACCCCTTGAGACTTATATTTGGACTTCTCTCCAGCGAACCTGCTGTGCCCTTGGACTTATCATTGCCTCGGTGATGAGCCTTGTCGCCATCGTCTCCACTGCGGCCGTAGCAGGGCTCGCTCTACATCAAAGCATACAAAATGCTGAATTTGTGCAGCAATGGCACAAGCAATCTCACCGGTTATGGCTTCAAGAACGAAACATTGATACTCAACTTGCTGAAAGATTGGACAACATGGAGCAAGCCTTGACATGGCTTGGAGATCAGCTCACTGTCCTCAGTACTCGGATAACATTGCAATGTGATTGGAACTCCACTCAATTTTGTGTAACGCCTGTGCCTTTTTATATCTCTCAGAATTGGATGGAAATCCGAAAATTATTAGTAGGCCATAAAAATATTAGTTTGGACATCCAAGAGCTCACTCCAAACATTTCCGAAGCATTTCGACAACAATTACATGTATTGTCCGGAACCGCAACCCTGCAGGAGCTGGGTCAACGCCTTGCTGCCCTTAACCCACGGACCCAGATGAAAACATGGATTTCTACAATCTCTGGAAGTATATTGCTTTGGGCACTCGGATTAGGTCTGCTTCTCCTGGTGACCTGATGCTCCCTCCGTCGCCTCCAAAAACAAAAGAAAACACAGGAACAAATATGGGCTACCTTTCTAGGATTGAGGCAAAACAAAAAGGGGGAAATGCAGGGGCCCTTGAAAACAGTATGCTGAGAATAGATAGGGCTCAAGGACAGTATCTCCAATTGAACTTTTAATGAACTCCCGTAGGCGCCAAGAAGGCGGACAAATAAGGAAGAGCATAGAGACAAGGAACTAAGCAGAAGGTTACATCTGGGTAAAGAAAGTTTCTTTTGCATTGTGTTCTTTCTGCTGACGTGGGGTTTATGGAGTATAAATAAAGTGAGGCGGAGGCTCTGGGCGCGGCCGCCATGTTCTCTGTATGTCTTGTCCTGTGTTGTCTTGTGTGTTCATTCCTTTGTTTAGAAAACACGTGGACCCCAACATACTATACTTTAATAACTATATTTTTCTTCCATTGGGAGAAACTAGGTAAAAGCTATGTGAGATCTCTCTATTATTTTTATAACTATGTATAATTATCTCAATAAAATTTTCTACTGAAAGTTTGAATGAGTAGTTTAAAATCTTCCTAAAAGGAAAACAAGCTTTGATGGTTTTATAAGCTAAACCTAACGGTCAAGAAATAAATAACTCCAATGTTGTATCATTGAACATTCTTCAATTCATTTTAAGAGATGGTATAATTATGACACTCAAATCTAAGACAGAGGGCACAAGAAAGAAAATTATAGCTTGCTCTCAATCATGACCATGGATTTTAAAATCCTACACAAAATAATACAAAAAATTAGCCGGGCATGGTGGTGGGCGCCTGTAGTCCCAGCCTCTCGGCAGGCTGAGGCAGGAGAATGGCATGAACCTGGGAGGTGAGGCATGCAGTGAGCCGAGATTGTACCACTGCACTCCAGCCTGGGTGACAGAGTGAGACTCCATCTTAAAAAAGAAAATCCTGCACAAAATATTAAGTCAGATTTAGTAATGTATAAAAAAGATAGTATATTACAACCAAGTTGAATTTATTTTAGTAATGCAACATTGTTTCAACATTTGAAAATCAATCAATATAATTCAGTACATTAAAGATTAAGGAAGAAAGACTATATAATCAGATCCAATAATGCAATTACTTGGCTAAAATCCAACATCTATTCACGACTAAAATAAAAAACAACCATTAGCAAACTAAAATGAACCTACAACAAACATCATACTTATCTGTGCAACCATGTAGCATTCTCTTTAAGATTTATTACAAGACACAGATTATGTATTACCACTGTTGAAATTCAAGGTGCCTATGACACAAAGATTTTTAAAATCTTCCTACCATGTAAGTGCCAAAGTAGCCTTTTATGCTTATTTGTTTAACACTAACAATAAAATGGACAAATAACAAACATCTCAAATGTAACCAATCAGAAAAAGATCTTAAGGCTGGGTGCGGTGGCTAATGCCTGTAATCCCAGCACTTTGGGAGGCCAAGGCAGGTGAATCACTTGAGGCCAGGAGTTTGAGACCAGTCTGGCCAACATGGTGAAATCCTCTCTCTCCTAAAAATACAAAAATTAGTCAGGCGTGGTGGTGTGTGCCTGTAATCCCAGCTACTCAGGGGATTGAAGCAGGAGAATTGCTTGAACTTGGGAGGCAGAGGTTGCAGTGAGCCAAGATTGCACCACTGCATTCCAGCCTGGCAGCCTGGGCGCCAGAGTGAGACCCTGTCTCAAAAATAAGAAAAAGAAAAAGACCTTAAGAGTGTTAAAGCAAAGCAAATGTATATTAGTGCAAATAGGATTTGCCACAGGGGTATCTAGAAAACATTAGACCCCAAATCGTAAATGAGTACAAGTCCTCTTGTTAGTGAATCTAGGAGTTTCTGCCGTCATCTGTAGAAGTATTGAGAATATGACCTGACATGAAATGTTAATTAAATTTAAACACACAGACCCTTTTTAAATTGCCAAGTGATTTTATTTCAAGATGACATCAGAATTGCTAAAAGATGATCTAATTGTCAGAGTGACTATTGCTTATATCTCCCAGTAAGTGTCAATGTAATTTACTCCATTGTGTTGTCTCCTTCCCTTTCTCTTCCATAAAAATGTAATGCTTGTGAAAAGCCACCAAAGAGAAGCGAAACCAGAAAAAGGATGTAACGAGTAAATATTAAAAGTAGTGCTCGGTTTGTATTCACAAGTATGCTGCTTGCAATACGGTATTGTTTGTCAGGTGGAGGGCCACTATCTATACTACCTCCTGTTCCTCTCAGTTCACATGTTGGTGGTTGCCACCCAAACACACAGTGACAATGTTTTTTGTTGTTACATACTCCTTTGTAATTGCATGTTTTAAGATCACACTCAAAATGCAGGTCTTGATAAAAAGTACAATTGTGTTTAAGACAGTAGCTCCCTGGGCCACAGGTTGCACCATCCACTACCAGCCCCATTTCTGGCAAGTCTGT